AACATTCTGTCTTGGGCTGGAGCTTGGCCTCTGAAGCCCAAGCCCATCACTACCACAGGATCTTGCACGAGTTGTGCCCACTGTGTCTCAAGTACAAGCAAGGCCTAAGCGCAGTGCAGAACAGTGCCCAGGGAACCGCCACATCCCTTACTGTTCGTGTCAAGAGGTGCTTTTAATTTTTGTGTTTCAGTTCCAGCGAGATCAGAGCCTGGACGACGTCATAACTCATGTTTGTTGCCTTCTCTGCACCCCCCAGGAAGATACACAGCTGGGTGGGTTCTCTTGCCTCTGGTTGGAATTGCTAAAATATTCCTTTCAGGGAACGTGTCTGTGCTGGAGGTGAAAAATAACATCAGCATTTTAAAGAGGGGGAAGACGCACTGCTTCTGTTACACTCATGCTGCTGTTGGCTTGTAGTTGAGGCTCGTACTGTCTAGCACGCTAGCCTTTCGAGACGTGGTCAGGCTCCTGGCAGCATTGTGGGAATGATGGCAATATTAACTAAGTTCCAGGCACTGCAGAACGAAGAAGACCTAATGTCTGCATGTGATTTGTACACTGTAGCAGACGAATAGACTCCATCTGGGTGCGTGGTGGGGTCAGTTTGTATTGGGAAGCCAGTAGACCAAGTTGTCTGTCAAATGTTTGATGGAGGGGGGGAACTGTGAGCAACATTCACAACTTCTTTACAGTTTTTTTCTTCTATTCAGCCAGCCCTGCCGCCCAGCAGGCGTGCCAGAGGGCAAGGGGTGCGGCTAGAGGATGTGGAGCTGTGCGGTGCTCCTAAACTATGCAGGAGCACAGCGTCACTCCTACATGGCTTAGGAGATCTTCATGACAGTGGCTTTTCCCTCTGTGCAGGAAGTGGGAGGTAATGCCAATGCAGAGCTCCTGGGTCCGTCCTCCACCTAGGCTTCCCAGATGGCACTTGCCACATTCTGCAAACGTGCCCCTGCCCATCCCGAGAGTGTGTTGTTTTCCTCTGTTCTGCTACCTACCTCTGAGCTAACAGCTGGTAACTAAGCCCAGGTGAAATCCTGGTGAAGACAAGGTAGTTTAAAAACGAGTTAGCAGGTCAAGATGGAGTATGGAGGGGGCCTATGGTTTCCCTGAACCTCCTAACTCGTGTTAAAACTGCCTTGTCTTCACTAGGGTTTCCCTGTTAGCTAACACGAGTTCAGAACACAGCTAGTGAAGACCGAGCCTCCCACACTTACAGTGAAGAACATGCTTAAGAGTTGGGCTGGATTGGTGCTTGGATGCCCAGCACCTGGCAGGATCAGGTCTCTACAGAGCAGTTGATCTAGATACTCGATGGATGCTTCGTAGCCAGAAGTGATCTAGAGAAAAGATGCAGCTATGGCTGCATTGTATCTAGTGACATTAGTGACATTAACAGAGCAAACCCCAGCCCCAGAGCTGGGCGACCAAGTCACAAAGTCATGTTAACTACCTGAGACCAGGGACAGCACAGCTGCACTGGTAGAATTGGTGTCCGAGAAGTAGCCAGTAACCCAGAGCGATGGCTGCACCTCACGCAGGTTTCGCAGCGTTTAATTGACTTAATGGCCACTTCATACTGGGATGCCAGAAAGATTTCACAGAGGGTTTACATGTCGCACTGACAATAAATGTGGGTTGGGGACAGTTAACTCCCCCCCCAATGCGCCATCTCTCTCTCTCTCTCTCCTCTCCCCCTTTCCTGGTTCCGATGGAATGGGAAATGATCTGGTCAAAGCATTGCTTTCTGCCCAGCGGCACTGGATAAAGCTGTCATTCCTTCTCCTCATGTCGTTACAATCAGTAAATAAATGGACTTTGCAAAGTGGAGGGCTAAGATCCCTGTCCTCAAATTAATCTAAGATTCCAGAATTGTCACTCTGTGTCTGCAGTCTAGATATTTCCTCACCTACCTTGTCACTGTCTGTGTGACTCTGAAGCCTAGAATGTCTAAGTCAGCTGTGGAGGGCTGGAAACAACTGCAAGCCTGAGTGAGGGCTCTTTTTGTTCCGAACATCACCAGGCTCAGTCATCCCTGGGATTCACAGGCTGTTACCGTCCAGTTTGTCAGTTCTGAGACATGTTTGGCTTTTTTCCCCACGTGATTGTACTGTCACATGGGTTTTCATCTAGTACAGTGTATTCATTAAGGACACCAACTCCCACAGCTCCTTAAAGCTCAAAGAATATGGCATAGAACTTGGACATAAACCAGTCCCAGTCATAAGTAGATAGGAACATAGGCATATTGCTCCTTTGTTTGTTTTTTCCTTAGTATTTTATTTCAAAAGTGGCATTTCTCCTTGGTTGAAGGAAAAAAAGAAATCCCCATAAGTTTCATTTCCCATAGTTAGAGATCTCGGTGTTTTTTAAGTTGATCATGGCTTCTCATCTGGAATTTTCAGCAACAGTTACAGCTCTTTGGCTTTGGCATTGGCATATACTGTCAAGCCCCATCTTTGCAGGAGTTTGAGTCCTTAAACTTTATAAAGTTTCTAGAATTACAGTAGCGGAGCTACATTTTTGTATTTAAAGTAAGATGTTCCCCCATCTAGGATAGCACAAAGCAACAGTAGAAAGCAAAGGGACCCACAAGTCTCTTAAAGAAAAGAAACATTTAAATGTCAACTTTTTGTGCCTACGTTACTTCAGGGAACATCAGATCCATGTGTAATATTGTATACCGTATGGGCTGCAATAGCTAAGAGCTAGCAGAGGTGTTTAAAGACCTCCTGGGAGCTTTACTTTTTGAATTCTTTTCTGATATAACAGCGTCATGTTGTAACATATGGCTTATCAAAATAACCTTTCAAGTGCCTTCTCGGTCTTTAAAACCATTATATTCAGGCAGCATAGAATTACATTGGGCTAGTGGCTTTATGCATATATTAATTTCTGTGACCCTTTTATTTTGAGGGGCGGGATCTTGATTCTGCCTCAGCCTTGATACTGGGATAATCCAGTTTGAACAATTTTTTAAAAATAGATTTTTTTTTTGGCTTTGTGTACTTACAAAAGTGGACTTTTTTCCCTTAGGCAAAAATCTCTTTGGTTTGTCTAGCAAGATAACAAAATGCTGGTGACAGATCCAAGTTTTACTTTAACATTTATTGCAGCAAACATGGTCTAACTATGAATGCAAAAAAGCTGACACTGGGCTGGCCATCTGTAGGCTATATTGTATTGCTTTAGGTTTGTATCAGGAGCTTTGTTAGGCCTGGTCTACACTACGACTTTAATTCGGATTTAGCTGCGTTAATCTGACTTAACCCTTCACCCGTCCACACTACAGAGCCAGTTAATTCGAATTAAAGGGCACTTAAAATCGATTTCTGTACTCCACCTCAACGAGCGGAGTAGCGCCAAAATCGATTTTGTTAATTCGAATTAGGGTTAGTGTGGCCGCACACCACCGAATTAATGTGGTTAAATTAATGGGGTAGTGTGGCCGCACAACACCGAATTAATGTGGTTAAAAACCGAATTAATGTGCTTAGTGTGGCCGCGCACAATCGAATTTATACAACCTGTTTCCCAAATTCGAATTATCTAAATTCGGATTAATCCTGTAGTGTAGACATACCCTTAGTATGGCAAAATACTATGCAGTTTGGCCTGCAGCTGAATACTACGATTGGAAATGAGTTCGGAAACACTGGTTAATTCATGATAATACAGCAGTGGTAAGCTGCAGTGTTTATTTTGGGAGCTCCCGTTACATGGACCTTTCTTTACACATGGAGTTAATTTTTATTAAATAGCCTTGAAATGCAAACGTTGGGGAAGGGGAGGGAAAAGCTGACAACACGCTGATTTTGGTCGGAGCACAAAAAATAAAAAGCACGGAACTCTGTAGCAAGTGACTAGCGCTTCGATTGAGACAAGCACGCTGACGACAATGAGGACTTGAGCACGTGTTTGAAGACCAATATGAGTTGGTTTTGCTGGATCGGGGGCCTAGATGAAGGATTGATTTTTAGTCTGTTGGTATCTGTCCTTGTGAATAAATCCTAAAATCTTTTGTTTGTTTGTTTAAAAAGTCTCCTTCCACAATCAATTCAGGGGAACAGGAATTTTAGACGGTTGGTATTTTGTTTGCATCATTCTTGATCATCAGAGACCTGAGGAAGAGTTCTGTGTCAGCTCAAGAGCTTGTCTGTCTGTCTCTCTCTCTCTCTCTCTCTCTCTCTCCAACAAAAGTTGGTCCAAGAACAGATGTTCCCTCCCCCACCTTGACTTTCTCCTTGGTAATACTATTTAACTGAGCCCAAGGAGCAATCTGTGATTACAAAGAATCATCAGCCAGAGCTTTTAAGATATTGCTGACCCTGTGCAGCAGTCCCCAGGGTTGCAGACTAGAAGACTTGTTTGTTTTTAGCTGCTCAGATTCTAAGGTAACAAGCACCAGATTAAGAAACCGACTGGACAGGCCGATTCTGTTGGTAAAAGACATCCCCAATGTCCGACTCCTTTAAGACTCTGATAAAGCCCCATTAAATTATCTCCTTTATGTGCCATTTATCAGAGCCTTTTCCTTCTTTCCACGCACTGACTTAAGAGCATGGAGTGCCAAATTCTCCTGTAGAAGAGGTTGTTAGGACCTTACTTGAAAGGGGAGGTAATGTGGTCTAATTGGTAAAATATTGGACTGGGAGTCAGGAGTCCTGGGTTCTAGTCCCAATTCTGCCATTGGGCTGCTGGGTGATGTTGGCCAAGTCACATCTCTGGTTTCCCTCCAGCCCTTGGACTGTCTGATCTCTTTAGATTGTAAGATCTTCAGGGCAGAAGCTCTCTCACTACATATCAAAGCATTCAAAGTACTGGGTGGATGAATTTTAAATAGATTAGAAGAAGTAAAATGATCAGATGATATGATAAAACTTGTGTCTGGCCTTCACTGGTCAAAGTAATTGGATTGCTTTTCCAAGATGAAGGTTTGGTAAATAACTGTTATGACTTCTGCAGGTTGCTTGTGATGCTTGTTTCTTTTCACTTTGCAGTGCCTTCTCCTAGTGCCTTGCTGGTAGACAATCCCACGCCTTTTGGAAATGCAAAGGAAGTTGTAGCAATCAAGGACTATTGCCCAACTAACTTCACAACCTTAAAGTTCTCCAAGGGTGACCACCTCTACGTCTTGGATACCTCGGGAGGCGAGTGGTGGTATGCTCATAATACCACGGAAATGGGTTACATACCTTCCTCCTACGTCCAGCCTGTAAACTACCGCAACTCTTCCTTCACTGACAGTGGCATGATAGACAATCTGCTCGAAAGCCCTGACGAAGGAGTCCGAGAGCTAGATCTGCTTGGAGAGTGGACTGATGTAAAGAGAAACTCTGCCAACACCCACAGTAACAACCCTTTCTTAAATGGGGTCCAAACCAATCCGTTTCTGAATGGGAACTTGCAAATGATGCCCAGCTCAGACAAAGAGTGCACCCCCAAAACCACTGTGGACTTACTGCTGTTTGACACGGCAGCTCCTCCGTTTACAGGGGCCGGTTCTGCAATGAACAGCAGCATAAGTAACATATTTGTTGAACTTCCATCCACAAATGGATTGGAGTTCGAACAGCCTGTGAGGCGGGACAATCCCTTCTTCAGAAGTAAACGCTCGTACAGTTTGTCGGAGCTGTCTGTCCTTCAGGCAAAATCAGAAATGCCAGCATCATCAGGGTTTTTTACTGGATTAAAATCGCCTACCCCAGAGCAGTTCCAGAGCAGGGAAGATTTTAGAACTGCCTGGCTGAACCACAGGAAGCTGGCACGGTCGTGCCACGACTTGGACTTGCTTGGCCAGAATCCTGGCTGGGGTCAGACACAACCTGTGGAGACCAACATCGTCTGCAAGCTGGATAGTTCTGGTGGAGCAGTTCAGCTCCCAGATACTAACATCAGCATCCATGTGCCAGAAGGACACGTCTCGCTGGGGGAAACACAGCAGATCTCCATGAAAGCCCTGTTAGACCCACCCCTGGAGCTCAACAGTGACAAATGCAGCACCATAAGCCCAGTGCTGGAGATTAAACTGAGCAACATGGAGGTAAAAACGTTCATCATGTTGGAGATGAAAGTGTCGGCGGAGGTCAAGAATGACATCGTGAGTCAGAGCTTGGTGGGATTACAGTGCCTGCGTAGTGACACAAAAGAAGGACCCTATACACCAATGCAACTCAGCTATTCCTATGGAGACACGATACAGGTGCAATTGGATAACCTGGAACCTTGTATGTATGTAGCTGTTGTAGCCCAAGGACAGAATGTCATATATCCTTACACTGTCTGGGACTACATCAGTAAAAAGATCACAGTGGGTGTCTATGGCCCCAAACACATACATCCTTCTTTTAAAACCATAGTGGCTATTTTTGGACACGAATGTGCGCCAAAGACTCTCTTAGTGACCGAGGTTACACGGCAAATCCACGGCGTGGCGCCCGTGGCCCTGCAGCTGTGGGGCAAGCACCAGTTTGCTCTGGCCCAGCCGCAGGACCTGAAACTCTGCATGTTTTCCAACATGACTAATTATGAAGTGAAGGCCAGCGAACAAGCCAAAATCATCAGAGGCTTCCAGATGAAGCTGGGGAAAGTCAGCCGCCTCATCTTCCCAATCATGTCCCATGACTTCAATGAGCTCTCAGACTTCACGTTGAGGATACAGGTCAAGGATGACAAGGACGCCATATTGACCCAGTTCTGTGTGCAAACACCACAACCACCTCCTAAAAGTGCCATCAAGTCCACTGGGCAGAGAAGGTTCCTCAAGAAGAATGAGGTTGGGAAGATCATTCTGTCCTCCCTGGCTGCCAGTAGCAAATATCCTGTCTTTCAGGAGCGGCCAGTTGCGAGCCTGAAGTATGGCAAACTGCTTAAAACTGTAGTGCGCCAAAACAAGAACCATTATTTACTGGAATATAAGAAAGGAGATGTCATAGCGCTGCTCAGTGAAGAGAAGATCAAACTGAAAGGCCAGCTGTGGACCAAGGAATGGTACATTGGCTACTACCAAGGAAAAATCGGCCTTGTTCACGCCAAAAATGTGCTAGTGGTTGGGAAAGTCAAGCCCAGCTATTTTTCTGGACCTGATCTCACCACCAGTGCATTGCTTGAGCAAATCCTGAGGCCTTGCAAATTTCTGACCTACATCTATGCCTCAGTCAGGACTCTGCTTATGGAGAACATCAGCAGCTGGCGCTCGTTCGCAGATGCCTTGGGATACATGAACTTGCCGCTCACTTTCTTCTGTCGAGCAGAACTAGACAGCGAGTCGGAACGGGTAGCCTCGGTGCTGGAGAAGCTGAAAGAAGACTGCAATAATACTGAGAACAAGGAGAGGAAATCTTTCCAGAAAGAGCTAATGGCGGTGAGTACTCAGCCTGCCGGAGAAGTTCTTAATCTATTAAGAAATGTGTTCTGAACTGGGAGTAGAAACAGGAATGCAATGTGTTTGTAAACAGCCCATACAAATGAAAGTACATCTGATTGTGTGGGGGTTTTTGATGGGAAACTGGCCATCCTTCACTGTATTCATATTACAGCAGGGCCTAGAAATCCCCAAGTGGGGTCAGGACCCCAGTGTGCTAGGTGCTGTACATACACATAGAGAAAGTCCTTATCCTGAAGAGCTAACATGGCACAGAGACACAGAAAGATGAAATGACTTGTCCAAGTCACACACCAGGTCGGTGGCTAACCTGGGAATCCAACCCAGGTCTCCTGACGTTCCTTCCAGTGCAGCATCCAATAGACAACTTTGCCTCTCAGTGGAGTTCAGTGAAAATGACTTAACTGCTAGGGCAGTTTGAGTCTTCTATTCCCTAACAGCATAGGGAATTATCATGATCAGTAAAGCATAGTGGGGTACTGCACCATAGCTGCAGTGAAACATCTTGAACAGGCTGCTCTGTTCCACAGTTAAAATGTTAATCAAAATGCAAATGAAGCTGTACCTCCAGATTAGAGGGTGGGGCATTGATGCTTACATAGCTATAGAGGCACTTCACAATCCTTCTCTCTTTGAATGGTGGACACTGTATGTTCAGAGCCTCTGTGGAGTTTTAGGCAAACACGTAGACGTATGTGTTTATTTTAAAAGGTAGCTGATCCAAAGCCCATTGAAGTAATTGCAAGTTGTTCCACTAGCTTCAGTAGTCTTTGGCTTTAAAGTGGTTATTCATGCTCTGAAGCCAGAAATAAATAAATACCGTGAAAAGTTCCTAGTCACGGAGGTGAAGCAACTTAAAGCAAAAAGAGCTTGTTAAAGCTTGTTGGGCGTCGACACCAATTTGGAGGCTTTATGCGGGAGCTTGTAATAAGACAGCAAACTGGCATATAGCAAGAAGTTAAAAACGACTCCTGTACAGGAATATGTTGGTTAACTGTCAATTAAAAAACCTCGTGCACTGAAGTATAGCAAAGGGTTCTTATAAATATTGCAACTGCGAAGAAAGAATTCTGCAACTTCACTTTTATATAGGATTAAAAAACAGGCTTTTTTAAAAAAAGGATTTTCCTGCTGGTTATTTTTAATCAGGAACCTGTTTGCTTCTTCTCTTTCCCTGACCATCTTCTAAGCATATTAGGTAGACTGGGTGACTGTAGCAGCTTGAATTTAGATGGCTCATCCTGAACAATGGAGTACTCATACAGTATCAGAGGGGTAGCCATGTTAGTCTGTACTATACCTAATATGTAAAAATATGGCTTAACCAGCGATGTTCTAATAAACTTCTGTTTGCATTCAGGGGAAACTTGAATCCTGTGATTCTCGCTTAGTTGCCCTTAGAAAATGTCACTGAAAACTTGTTGTTGCAGAGTGGATCTCTGTGTGGTTCACAGGAAACAAGCCAAGGACATTTAGGGCTTGTATTTTAGACCAGTTTTGCGGCACTCCTCGTCCTTGAAATTGTGTCTTTCACAAAAGCAGATAACTAAGCAACAGAGAATCACATTTTTAAAATGGAAACTTAACTATTGAATAGCAAAAGCTTCTCTTGATGGTTTCAGGCCTGGGAACTAAATTATTCATAGATAAAATGGGTCGAAATATGTAATAACTCACATCTTTGTCATTTAATAGGAGTGGTGAATGTTGAGGATTAGGTGTAAGCTGTCTTCATTATCATGAAGAAAGGGTGTAGTTGAGTAATGGCTCCCCAATCTAGCGTGTTCAGGGATTCATTTGTGACTATTCCCTCTAATACCTCAGCAGAATTAAAAAAGCTCTTTTCAAAACTCCTACCTACATTTGATATCACTGTGGAGAATGGGAAAATATTGGCCCCCAAAGAGAAAGTGATGGAGCCCTTTGAGTTTTACTGGAATTCACATGATCATAGGAGCCGCCTAATGAACTAATTAAAAGTAAATAAATAATCATAAAATTAGGGTTGAACTTTTCAAAGCAGTCTAGAGCAGTGGTTCTCAAAGCTGGTCCGCCGCTTGTTCAGGGAAAGCCCCTGGCGGGCCGGTTTGTTTACCTGCCGCATCCGCAGGTTCGGCCGATCGCGGCTCCCACTGGCTGCGGTTCGCTGCTCCAGGCCAAAGGGGGCTGCGGGAAGGGCGGCTAGCACGTCCCTCAGCCCACGCAGCTTTGAGAACCGCTGGTCTAGAGCATTTTGAAACATCAGCTATTAAGTCTAATGTATCTAAATCCCCTGGATTGCTTTGAAAAACTCAGTCAAGATTTCCTCAAATTCAGATATGTGGTCTGTTGTAACTTCACAGTGAAAGTTGCTCATATCATTGTTTGAGGGAAACTTAAAAAATAAATAGTGCTGTCGAACTAGCGCTTGCTGTGACAGATAGATGGGGTTAGACATATTTAAATTGTCACTTTGATCCTTTGTAAATCATCCCACAATCTGCAGTGTTAAACTTTTGATACTAAGATCCCATAGTTTAAACTAGCAGCCATGCAGAGTCTGTACAGAAGCCAGCCGATAGGAAGAGAAGCAGCAGGTGGACAAGAAATTATATTAAACAGAAAATGTTATGCTTAAACAAGGCCACAGCAAGGATGACGAATGCTGAGTGGGTGGGGGAGGGGATTGAGGCTAGGTTGAGGTCCAAGAAAGCTGCTGGGTTCTTGACTCCTGCACAGGGTTATATATTGTGGTGCATGGAGGTGGGGGAAGGCCGGGAATCAGGTTTTCAAGTTTTCTTTCCTTCCTGCCACACCATTCCAGCTCTGCTGCTCTGTTGTTAGGGTGACAGAGAGCTGCCAGGCGCATCCCTCTGCTCCATGGATGAAGATTTCTGACAGACAGGAGCGACATTTTTAGCTGAAGTGTCTTAAAGCTGTAGCGTCCCCTTCTGCTTTGATAAGAAGTCTAGCAGAGATGCAGGCTGTGGAGTGAACGTGGAGAGGCTTTGCCTAGGAACTAGCTCAGATCTCTGTTGTCAACGGGCATTTTTAAGACTCTTTATTGTCCACTTGAGCCAGGGGGCGTTTTGAGCCCAGCCTCCTCGCTCAGTTGTGCGGTTCCTAACACCCCTGACTATGCAGAAGTAGCAAAACATCATCTGTTACTACTGGCATGGAAATGTTCACCTCAGCGGGGAGGTGAATGAGAATGAAGAGGAGTAGGGGGAAGGGTTTTACATAGGCCAGGATTCTCATTCATGCACAAACTTGGTGTAATCTTGCCCCCATCTCTGCTCCCAGCCATGTATGGCTTGTTCTTCTCCAGTCAATGAGAAAATATTCTGCCCACGCACTTCCTCTCTATGCTTCCCAAGAGACTGACAGGCCTTACTTCCCTTTGCTTCATAGGTCAGTTTTTTGTTACTTCGAGTACAGGTGACTCTTGGGGAGTTACTGAGTTTCCTCTAAAAATAACCAGATTTGTCTTGATTTTTGAATGCAGCTTTATTAAAATCCTAATCCAAAAAGTGAGACGTTACAAAGGCAGTTCGCTTAGAGTAGGGTCGTCCAACCCTCGCCAGTGTGGTGGTGGGCTTTTTTTAAAAATAATTCTTAAAGTTACATAGAAGTTTCCTGATCCCTGTGAACTGTGCACGCACGCTCACCCATGCAAAGGAGCATACAAAACGAAGCCAGGAACCCAATTAGCAGGGTGGCAGGAGAGATCGGAACAGTCTTGTGTAATGTTAAGAGTTCAGAACCACTAGAAGGGTTTATAGCTCAGAGAGTCTATTACCTGCTGTTATCCCAGCTGTAGAAGACTGAACCCTAAACGTTGACATGACGGTTAAGTAGCTTTTGGGTCCCAGCTGGAGGCACCTTGGGCTAGTGCTCGGTCAGCACACCATGAAAAATCAGGCACCCAAAAACTGAAGGACCCAGAATCACTAATCTGCTGAAAATTTTGGCTGGAGCTTTCTGGTTACACAGATCCAGCTCGAAGTAAACAGGACTTAAAAAGTCACCCACCACCTGAGCTCTGCAAAAACCACTCTGGCTAAAGGTCTGCGTTCCCAGACGAGCTTACTTGGGCACCGGAGTCTGGGCCACCGGGTTAGCCTGGCCTGGTCTGCAAGGCCCTGCCTGAGTTACTGTGTCCTCCTCACTGGTGCTGCGCTCCCCGGGTGCATTGCTAGGACTTCTGGGGACGTATCCCATGGTTCTTTGTGCTGCAGTCAGCTGTGCTGCTCTGATTCCTCTCCCCACTTCCACTTCCCCGTTGAATTGTGGAGCACGTGTCTGTCCTGGCCATGTAGGGGAATTGTGGGAAGGCATTCGAGGACTATCAGCACTGAGCGACTTAGCCTGCGTCCTCACCGCAAAGTGGACGCATTACCAATCAGAGCGTAAGTGGCACCTGAGCTCCACACTCCATCCAGGCCAGCTAGCCCAAGTTTCAAGCACCACCAAATTAGGTGAAAGGGTTTTGTGTGTGGACAGAGGGGTGAGCAGTTAGGGGCATAACAGCCCAGACTAAATGCGGGAAAAACGTACCGAGTGGTAAACTGGGTAGAGTTTTTGCTGCTGCTGTGATCTGTGCTGGCTACCGCATTTCCAGGTGAAGTATAAGATGCTGACTTGACTTTGAAAGTCCTAAATACTTTGGATACCTCAAAGATTGCATCCTTTCCAGTGTGCTACTAGGGCAGTTTGGATCATCTGAGTTGCTCCAGCGAACAGCCCCTCTTAGAATCATAGAATATCAGGGTTGGAAGAGACCTCAGGAGGTCATCTAGTCCAATCCCCTGCTCAAAGCAGGACCAATTCCCAACTAAATCATCCCAGCCAGGGCTTTGTCAAGCCTGACCTTAAAAACCTCTAAGGAAGGAGATTCCATCACCTCCCTAGGTAACCCATTCCAGTGTTTCACCACCTTCCTAGTGAAAAAGTTTTTCCTATTATCCAACCTAAACCTCCCCTACTGCAACTTGAGACCA